CTGGATGATGATAGGTGGTCTAAACTCACTAACTCGTTACCGGCATATTGTACTGCCGTAAATGCAGTTTTCGTGCACGACAACCCCGACAGCCCCACTCGGACGAACCGAAAGTCGCATTCAAGCTCCCACGCGGGCTCCTCCGGATAGGCGCAGTCTCGGAGCTCGGCCCGACGACGGTTTTCACCCCCACCCCCACCGTATGACAGCACAACGAGGAAGAAAGAGACACCGTCGGAGACATTCGCTCCGCTGCAGATGGCGGTCGGTTGGGGACCTAGAGTCATAGCGGTCGAAGGGCCTTCTTTGCGCTCCGTTTTCTTTAGCACCTTGCAGTGCGCTGGAAAAAAGGAAGCCGTCCGAGGCGGCCCGGTCCCTAGCCGGCCAACAGTGACTGTCGCAAGAGCTGGTGGTGGTGCTAGCATATATATATGAGCCTCGTGTGCTACCTCTAGAAGGCTATGCGACGGCTGACAGGGTGACGGGAGGGATTCACAGCGGGTGGACTTTTCTGACTATCGCCATGGAGCAACAGGTAAAATCCGCAGCTGAAAAGACCGTTTCAGTCGGGCACTGCGTGTGTCTTCATGGCCGCCTTTCTACGCAGCTGCGCTTGCTAATCTGTTTTGGCATGAGCGGAGACCGGCGCGGCGGTGGCCCAATTGGAGAGATGCATAGCAAAATTCCACCAACACCCAGGTCTAGAAATTTCCATCAATATCTAGTCCGTATCAGCCTACGTATGTGCGACTTCGACCTTGAGCTGGCCCAGCGCCCTTCAAAGAGGCGTGGACTTTGGGATTTAGCCCAGCAGATGCGATTGATTGGCGACGGTCCGTTAGTGAACTCAAACGCCGATCGCGAGCGCCACGCATACCATGGAGATAAGACACGCGACGGCCTCGACTTTTTGAGATTGGCATGCAATGGGCTAATTTATTGCCTCTATAGAGGGATACGTGGTTACCTTCGCTGGCTTGTAAGTCGGCGCTGGACTTTCTTTTGTAATGGGAAGCTAAATTCTGCTTCCCATCATCACCATAATTTTTCTCGACGCCGTCAATTCTGCCAACTATACGATCAAAGGTGCCTCGGTCGATGCAGAGCACAGAAACATCCTCTACGGCTTTGACTGTTGCCGCACGAGGTGCATTCCGCAATAGAGCAAGCTCACCGAAATATGTAGGGGGGCCAAGGGGAGGACATACACGGACTTGCTGGCCTTCTACAGTCTTTAGACATTCTACAGTACCAGTTTCGATTATAAAAAATTCATCTCCATCATCACCTTCTATTATAATCTCATCACCTGCGTCGTAGTCCTGTGGTTTCAGCGCATCGCAGATGATGTTCTTGGTGACCGTGTCCAGGTTTTTGAATAGAGGTACCTTTGAGATAAATCCAGCATATAGTAATCTCTGCTTGGAGGCTGTATTCTGCAGGATGGCTTTGAAAGTCGTTCGATCAAGGCACCACGCTGTGACCTCGTTGAGGGTGGTGACACTGGCACCTCGCGGTCGCTCGTATAGAAGGGCCAATTCCCCGATATGGCGCCGGGCCGGCGCACGACTATATTCGGTC